TTTATTAATATTTAGAAGGATTTTTAATACTTAGGGTTTACCTCCTTGTTTTATAATTCTTGAATAACTATTTACAAATTATTTAGTAATTATTTAGCACCGATTTAGCAACTATTTAGCAGCTATTTAGTAACTATTTGGCATCTATTTAGAAAATATTTGGTAGCTATTTAGTAACTATTTTCTAACTATTTAGCAGCTATTTAGAAAGGAGGAGACAGTTGGAACCACTTTTTGGCGGTGCAAAAGTGTTGCAAGTCAATTTATGTGTGTTTTTGCAGGTTTCATATACTTAGTATGACCGTCGAAAGGTTCGTAAGTGGATGAACAAAAAAATAAGAATAATCTGGAAGGGTTATTATTTTTGGGTCTTGATAGTTATTTTTTGGCAAAATATTATCAAAAATAATGAAATTAACAATTTTAGATATAAATCAAATTATAAATATTTTTGCAGATTTTAAACCCTTAATATATCTATGAAACCGAAATATTTTAAATATCTAAAATTATTGTTTTGGAAACCTGGGAGGCATTCTAAGTTTTACTTGTGGAATATAGTGTAATGTAGTGTAGTTGTATAGTTGTAGTTGTAGTTATAATTGTAGTTATAGTTGTAGTCGTGGTAGTAGCAATAATTGGTTTTGTTGTGTAATTAATATAATATAATATAGTATAATTAAATATATATTTATAATATAATATATTTATTATTATATAATCTAGTATAATATATTTGGATTTATAATAATTATAATTTTTATTTTTTTTTAAAAAAATATTTAAAATAATAAAAATAAATTTATTTTTAATTTTTAAAATTTTTAAATTTATAAACAATATTATTTTTAAATTAATATAATTGTTATTATTTATATATAATTTAGGAAATTTAAAAATTTTATATTTTAATATTAAAACAAAATAACATAATTATTTTATTTCTTAATATTTTAAATATATGTATTGGTATTTTTTTGTATTAAAATAAATATTTTTTTTAAATTATTCGAATAATTTTTTATTTTCTTTATTTTTAATAATATATATAATATTTTATAAATAAAATATTATTTAACTATCTAAAAATATTTCGATTATCAAGAATTTTTAATATTTAAGATATTTATTGAATTAGATATATATTTTAAATTATAATAACATAGAAATTTTCGATATCTTAATTTTATAAAAAAAATCCGAATATGACATATTTTATATATTTTAATTTCGAAATATATTTTTCATTATAATGAAATTTATTTTTAATTTCTTATCTGGTCAGACGATTCCATATCCGTTGCTTTAGATTTTTTTTTTTGATCCTCCAAAATCTCAAAATATTAGAAAATTAAAATATTTTCCATTTTCTTATTTTTACGAGAATTTTCATTTTCTTTCTTTCTATTTTTTATTTTATTTTCTGATTTTTTCCCCATTTATATTTTTCCATATATATATTGTCGGAAATTTAAATTCTATTTTTTTTTAAAAATATATTATATATTTCATTAATTTAGATATTTTTTTTTTCATTATTATATTATATATTTATCATTATTATGGTCTTTACCATCCAGAAAATTTAATATTATTATATATTATTTAAATTATAATATTCCAAATATTTTATTTTCATAATAAAATATATTTATATTAAAATATTATTATATTATAAAATTCCATCATATATTAAAATCAATTATTCTTAAATAATTTTTATTCTTATTCCTTAATTTATATTTCATATTATTTAAAAATATAATTTAATAATTAATAAATTTAATTTTTAAATTAAATCTAAATATATAATTTTAAGATTAAATTATATATAATAATAAAAATATATAATAATTAATTTCTAATAATCGAATTTTATTCGAAACATTATCATTTTTCTATTTATTAATAAACAATAATTTTCAAATATATACATAAATACAAAAATAAAAAATAAATAATAATAATATTAATAATAATAATATATATATATATCAATATCTTTTCCGAATAATTTTAATATATTTATAACACTATATATATATTTTTAATAATTTCGAATATTTTATTAATATATAAATTATTTATCATTATTATATTTATTATTATTCTAAAAATTTTAAATTATTATATTATTTATTTTTTATTTCTAATTTTAAATATATTAATATTTTATTATAATTATATTATTAATATTATTATAAAATAATATCATTATTAATAATTTTTAATTCTATTCCTTATTTGGATTTATTATAATATTTAGATTTAAAATTTAATATTTATTACAAATATTATATTAAAAAATAATAATTTATTATTATTTATTTATTAAAAAAAATAATAAAAATATATAAAATATATATATTAATACATAATAAATTAATTTTTATACTTTATTTTTATTAAATATAAATAGTCCCCTTCAGATTAGGGGGAGGGGTCGTACCCGGCTAAACCAATGGAACTTTGAAAAAATCTAGTAAATTTTACTCCTTATAAAAAATATAGGTTTTTAACACCCACATTCGATTTCAAACCCCTATACCATTTTATAAATTAATAATTTTCTTCATAATATGAATGTTATATCCTACTCGATGACATTTTTATAAGAAATTATAATTTTAGATAGTGTTTTCGGATATTATTTTATAAAGAAATAATTTCTGATTCCCTATTTCTGGTTTTCCCGGATTCATTGATTTTCAAATAATTTTTTTATAAGGATTCCTTTTCTTTGTTATTTTTT